CCCCCCCCCCCCCCCCCGTGCTCCTTACAGAATAAGAGCTGTCCACTGAATAATTTGCTGCTGAGGACACATTTTCCACATGACGATGTACTTCTCTAAACCGTCTTAAATTATGTTCTGCCTGGTTTGTGCCGTGGCTGATAAGCAAGGTAACAATTAACTGCCAGGTTCTTAGTGTGATATATTCCTGCCCAGGAAAACGCGGCTTGGAGGATGCGTCAGAGACATGCAGCACCCAGATGTGACGCTTGAGTTTTGTGTTCTTGTGTCACTCCGTAACTATGACTGGTGTGGTGGTCATTCGTCACAGATCAAACTATTTGTGCAGACACGAGCCAGCACTTGGCTCAAATCGAGTTCACCTGTGTCTGGGAGCACACAAAGAAACACCTCGGGCTGCGGCAGTTTGTGTGTTTCTGTGTGTGTGTGTTTCTGTGTGTGTGTGTGTGTGTGTCCAAGTCAGCATTTAGTGACAGCAGAGGCAATGTTCTCCAAGGCGGATCGAGCCTCGGAGGAGGGGAAAGTCTGGATGGCCTCCAGAGCCTTGTTGCCATGGTAACAACACAAGTCCACCGCTGAGCTCATGCCTTTCTCCGATTTGACTGCTGCCAAAATCTGTCAGGAAGAAAAAAAAAAGCATTAGTTTGTCATGTTTGAGACAGGTCTAAAAGATGAATGCAGCATAAGACGCAGTGGAAGTTTGCTTCATTGAGTGAACTGTAGGCAAATGAAGTCACTTTATTAGAGTAGCAAACTATCCACCCAAACCAACTTGTCACATTAAATTGATAAACAAAATGCTTCTTTACTTTTGTTTAATATTGATTTTATACTTTTTGACAAGTTAATATCTGTGTGTGTGTCTGTCTTTGCAGTAATAGTAGAGAATCTGCATGTATTCTTCACTTTTCACTGGACACTTTGAACTGCCCTGACAACACTGTGGCTTCTCTTGTCTCAACGTCAACATTAAAGAAGCTGTTGTGGTGACATAATGTGTTTATACACGGTTGACTGTAATTTGTTAGTTCTCTATGGAAAAATGATTGAGGAAATTAAACAAAAGACGTCGAGGAAGAACCATCAATGATTCCCATCCACTGCATCACATGTCATGACATGATTGTTGTGTGTACAGTGGAAACGTGACACCTGACACGTCTTTTTTATTAAGTGCAAATAAGACCTAGAGCTGATGAAGAAGATCCTTAAGTGGGCCTTTCTTCAATTTCTGCAAGTAAATTAGCGTTGTGCTTAACCAAACAGGACCAGGTTTCATGCTCAGTTAGTTTATTGACAGTAAAGTAGAGGATTATTAGATATATTATTGTGTATACTTTTTTGTTTGACAGGTTTATCTAATGTAAAATATATGCAATGGCTCAAACAAGGTTAGGAGTGAATGTATATTCCATGTCTACACATAGTGACTTACGTATCCAGATTTTCTGTGGTAAACAGTTGCTTCAAAGAACTTCTAATCTGACTTGCGCATGTGTCATTCAGAACCACTTTAGTGAGACTTGAGTTGGGGTTCGGTTCCTCGGAGCAACATAACTCAAATTTTCCCTGTAAGTTTGTACAATTAAATATTACGTATCGCCATGTAGGAAAATGGAACCTGTTGTCCTGTACTTTACTACTTACTTTTACATGGAGTTAGTCACAGCGAACAGTGATGAAAACCAAATGGAAAGTTTGCTGTTGAATTCTTTATTGTCCTCTACAATATGGTCTGAAATATGGCCTAAACTGGCAAATGTTAACTGAATCAGCTTCCTCGTCACAATGAGGGAACAAAATTTTCTTAATAAAATAATATGTGGGGGTTTGGCGACGACGCTGTTGAGGACGTCAGACCACATTTTTTATTTTATTTATTTTACTGTGACACAAAAACAACACTTTTGTGCCACATAATTGGTAAAACACTGTTTAATAATGACTTACAGAAAATGGCTGTAATCAGAATGTCAAAAAGGAAGGTAAAGATTTTGTGTAGCTCAATTTAACAAACAAGCAACATGACAAGAGTATTTTGGTGGTAATTTCTTTCTGTAAAAATGGGAGATATTAAGACAAACTCATATTCTTAACAATAGTCTGTTAATTATAATGTGTCAAAGTAAACTTTTATGCTTAAAGGCCCAAGGTCTTCCATTTTTCCTTCCAGACTTGAGCACTGTGTGCTGCTCTCAGCTTTCCTCCCTCTGTCCTCTCCTCTCCTCTCACTGTCTCTGAGTCTCCTCCTGTCTCCTCCACAAATAGGCCTCGGTAACTAATCCTTCCTGCTCTGGTTTCAGATGGGACCAGATAACCCCCTAATACCACCATAGCCCTCCTCTGTAGCACCCCATTCTGTCCCCTCCTTCCTTCACACGTCGACTTTGGAAAGCTCGTCTCCCGACTTTGATACTGAGTTACAGTTAAGAGATGCATTGTTTGTGTCCATGGCTTAGAAAAAAGCTAACAAATTAGGTTGTTACTGTAGAGCAGACATGGGCAAACTAAGGCCCGGGGGCCGGTTGCGGCCCGTTTAGCTTTTTAATCCAACCCGCCAAACTTTTCCAAATGATATAATTTATTTATATTATCATTTCATTATCTCTTGCCTTTTCTCTGCAACACCCACGTTTCCCCAATAGATGGCGTAAAAATGATAAAAGCATTTTAGCTTTTAAGCATGACTTTTACATGTAATTTATCTTAGTTCACGCAAATGCTTCATCTATCGGCTCCTGACCCGGCCCCCCTGTCAAATCTTAGGGCAATTGTGACCTACAAGTTTGCCCCCACCTGCTGTAGAGGAAAGTTGGCACAAGAGGTGTGTGTCTTTGTAAAATGTTACATTTCCTTGTTAGCTTTATAAGAACCACAATGGGGAAATTCACAGTGGGAGTCCCTACAACCCACAAAGGCTGACACACGGGAGGCACCATTAAGTACAGGGTCCCTCTGGGGCTCGAACCCAGGACCTTCTGCAAGAAAGGCAGATGTGTAAGGCAGGCATGATAACCGCCACACTATGGAACCACCTCATACCATGGTTGTCATTGTGTCTTAAGTCTTATGTTAATTAAATTGCACTTGAAATGTCTGAAAACAGAGAATCTTGAAATTAAGAAGCAAAAAAAACTCAATTGCCTGTTCGGCAATTTTTAAAATTTGACATAAAATGACCACATCCACATTAACATGAGGACAGACACAAACTTGTTTTATGTTTGTCAGAGGGCACGAGACTGTGTCTGAAATAGAGCTCATATCAATAGCTGTTCTATAGTGTCTGCCTTTTCACGTTTAGTGTTTCACTCACTAAAGATTCTTTACACTTTATGCATTGTCTTTATTTTTATTACTATTATTTATTTATTACATAGAGGATATAGATTAAAAAAACAAAACAAAAGATGACAAAACAAAATGTGTTCTCACCTTCGAGTAATCCAGTTGATTTCCCCCAGTTTTAGCCTGATTAAAGGAAAAAAGGTGATAATAAAAAATATATAATGAATGTATTAATATCATTAAAAATGAAAAAATGCATCACACGTAGTCTGTTCCTCTGACTTTTATTCTTACTGTACAGGAAACATTTCCAGGTCTTCTTCCACCTCTTTCCTACTTTCACACCAATGTAAACAACAGCCTCCTGCACGACCTAATCTGTCAACCTTTCACATAACTATTGTAAACATCTAAACATGATCAACCAGTACTCTCTTTGCGATCTACTGCTAGACCCTGATCTACTTATTTGTCTCTGTCCTACTTGATCTACTGCCCAATAGCTTTAATTTAATAACATTAACGTAACATGGAAATAAAAAAGTCTGCTGTCTCAGACCTGCTGCAGCTGCTGACGCCATCTTTTCTCCCCGACGATCTGACGGTGGAAAACCACGGGGGCAGCGCTCAAACTGAATGACACGGGCTCTCCCACGCTGCTCTTCACAAACGGCTGCAGGTCAGAGTTCAGCTACAGAACAGAGAGGGACAGAGAGGGACAGAGAGGGACAGAGAGAGAGAACACGTTTGTCAGTGACACTGACGTCCTATCGTCTGACTTATAGCCACCAATTACGCCGCGCCAGTGGCTTAAGTGCTGGAAGCCTACTTCATGTCTACTGGCAGGCTGAGACAGAGCGAGCCTGTTAATGAGCTGCTTGATGAGCCAGCTGTCTGCTGAAAGGTACCGTGAGCCCGACGGTTCTCCTTCAGAGACCGCGCTCCTGCTCCCTCACATGCCGGATTGCTCGTAGCCACCGAGGCCTGCAGAATGACAGCTCCAGGGAGTCACAGCAGGAGGGGATGTACCAAGTACTGATGCGTCGCAGTGGAAGGATCATTACGAACACCTTCAACACGTCGGGTTCTGCTGCAAACCACTCAACCATTAAAAAAAAAATCCTTCTACATCTGCATTAACATTACATACTAATGGCATTTCAGTGAGTCTACCTTCTTCCTGGTTCCACTCTTTCACATAATGTGTTCTCATCTCTGATGAGAAAATAATAAGGCACTGAAGTTGTAGAATACAATAAAAAATAAGTCTAACTCTGAGAAAAGTGATACGACGGTTTGTTTCAGTTGTGACATAGGATTGAAATGTAGTTTTCATTTGCTACCAGCCAGTGGCGCTGTATGAAGGGGAAGTTAGGACAATTCCAAAGGCCCCTGACTGTTAGGGGCCCAACAATGAATTAGAATAATATATCAACATATAATTTAGGGGCCCATTGTCATATCCTTCCCAGAATTCCTGGCAGCGCTCCTGCTTTCAGCAACTGTATAGATCTGTGAATATTGTAGCACGCTGATGGTTTAAGAGGCAAAGCTCAAACCAGACACTTCTTTCTAGAAAACAAATATATACACACACAGTGAGTGTTCCTAAAACTGGTCCAGTGGGGCTTCAGGATACAGGTTGAATCCGTTCAACAACAGCACTCATGTGCCAATTCGCTCATATCTCGATTTCATTTTCCCCATCAAAAATAACTAAAAACAAAATTCATTTGTTCCAGCCCCAGAGAAATATACTATTAATTAATTCAATTAAATCCCCCCTCTATCTAAACATCAAAAGAATATATAAACAAATATATTGAAAATATAAAATAATAATAATTAAGAAAACATTTTATATTATTGTTAGAAAAATGGGTAAAATAACCCAGTGAAGGACAGTGTCCAGTGGACAAATGGAGCTCGGTTGAGCACTAGATGTTTCCTCGTATCACGAGGAAAACCTTGCAAAAATTGTTTACTCGTAACCTGGAAAACTCGTATTTCGGGGAGCTGGTATCTGGAAGCCTCACTGAAGTGTAAACTACTGACTCCTGATGACTGAACTTTCGGTGTTAGGATAGGGACACCATGACCAGACTCACCCTGTGGCCGAGTGATAAGTGCTTGCCATATTTGTAGGCCAGCCGTTGAGCCTCCTTGTCGTGATTGGCCAGCTCCATCGCAGCCTGACAGCTCTTGGCCAGGAGAGCACCATGGGACAGGAACGACTGCTCCTCCCAAGTCTGTACATCGATGCCATCACTGGCACTGTTGTCCTGCAGGACAAATACACAGAAAGACTCAACATCATTCATGTCCCTGGTGTGACCTGTTCTCCTGGGACATGATGTAAACAGCGGTAAACAGGATTAATAGTTTTCCTCAATAAAACAAATAAGAAATGTAATTGACATGCATATCTGATACATGTGCAGAATTTGATCATCACATTTAACCAATCCAGTAAACCTTAGCATGAACTCCACACAATTAAATTAAGTTCAGGTGGGCCAAATAAAACAAAGTGACGGTTTGCATTCGGTCCACGGGCCTCTAGTTTGATATGTGTTCTAACATAATAAAGAGCCCCTCTTTGTGTTCTTTTCAAATCCTGCCAGCGGTCCAGCAGCTGCTGACACTGTCACTGAGGCCCCGTCATCTGGAAGTGTTCTCCCCACAAAAGGTCGTCTTCAGATCTTACAGTTTAATGCTACTTTGCTTTAGTGTCACTTTTGGTAATTTAGAGTTTTTTTTGGTTGTAAATTTTAAATTGTTAACTTTCAGAGGATTATGGATGCAATAAAAAGGGCTGGGGAACAGTAATCTTTTTATTTTGGGTACATTATTTTTGGACTTGTTCATAAAAAATGGCACCATCTATGAACAGGTTAATAGCCTTTGTGCAACTTTAAAGCATCAGCAGAGTCGTTTTTTACATCACATTGAACAATGTTTTAAAGTACTGCACGGCCTTGAAGCGATGCAGACATTTACCTCTGTATAACTGGGACTTTCGTAGTAGATGCCTTGGACTAAATCACCAATGGCACTGGAAATCAGCTCAACAACCTGTTTAAAAACAAAACAAACATTACACTATTAACACAGTCACACATTTCCACAAATGTGTTGCTGCTGAAAGGCAACAAAAAACAACATTAAACAAGGTGCAGTGTGAATTTCTTTGGCAGTAGAACATTGCATGAGCCACCAGGAGCACAGATGCACAGATTCATCTATTTGAAATTATTATATAGTCATAAGTGCAATGATTAAACTGCAAGCAGAAATCTTCATCATCCAATCTTCTCTGATTGGATGATGAGAAAACATCATCCAGGTGAGTTGAGACAGACAGAGGGATGGCTGGAGATGGATGGACAGACAGACGGACAGACAGGAATGTCCAGTGTCAATTCCCTGAACCAGTACTTGAACGGCCTCATGACACTTTATTAAGAATGTGAAGTGATGAGAAGTTGAAGCAATTAGATAGTTGGATAGATGGATAGTTGGATAGATGGATGGAAGGATGGATGGATGGATGGACGGATAGTTAGACAGACAGACAGATGGACAGAACTTTTTTTATTAATTTTTATCCCTTGGGAGTTCCCCTGCGGATTTCTTTTTTCCTAAGATGTTTTAAATGCTATTATTAAAAAAACAAACAAACAAAAAAAAAGATTTATTTTTTCCTAAGACGTTTGAAATGCTATTATTATAAAAAAAAAAAAAAAAAAAAAAATCTAACAGACTTCAGTGAGTCACAGGAGCTGGACTTCTCATCAACCTGGAGACAGTAGTCAGCTGCTCATACTGACTACTGTAGTTCCGAGTTCCCTTTAAGGGACTGGAATTTATCAATTATTTCCCACACACACGAGTAGTGACTGGGCAGTTGAGTCTACGCTTGCACAGTGTGAATGATAATAAATTAGAAGCTCCTCCAGTTTGTCCCAGACATCCTTGATTCATCACAAATGTGTGGTTGATTGTGGCTGCTCTATCAGCCTGGCTCTGCCTGTGGAGTAACCCAATCCAGCAGGAGAAAATATTGGGGAAACATGAGCTGCGCCCACAGACCTGGAAGGATAATTTGCCTACAGTATTACCAGATGTGGTGTCTCTGCATGGCCTGCCTTGGGAAGTGGGGGCCAGTGGGGGTCTTTTTTTGGAAAGTATCAGATAAGCTCTCTTGCTACCTCCCCCATACTCCATTCCCAAATCCAGCCAGATCGTGTTTTGCCGACAGGTCTGCGAGGGAGGAGAAACCGGAGCTCCAAAGTGAGATTACTTTACAGTTTATACAAGTGGCAGTATAGGTTTCCTCTCAGAGCCATGACACATAATCTCCATTGCTCTCGCCGCCTTAAAAAAACAAAACAATAACAACAAAAATGCTGGTTTATGAGAAAAACTTTAAAAGCTGACATAAATATTCATATCGCCTTTTGAGCAGAAAACATTAGGTGAAACAATGAGCAAACAGATGGCAAAAATAAAGGAATAAATAAAACAACAAGCCATGATCAAGTGGCCACCTAACACTGTAAGGCTTTACATAAACTATATTTTTTTGACATAAAGTCGTTTTGATAACACTGTTGTAGGTCTGGTCTATACAGTACATTTGGCAGTAAATGTACCTGCAAACCCCTCAGAAATGAATGGCAATTATTGTGCTTTAATGAGTGAAATAAATTGGGTTTTTTCTATTTTTACTTTGATCTACAGACACTATTTAGATGAATATTTTCCTTTTTTCACACATATGTTTATAAATCATTACCTGGACTGTACACTAGCCCAAGACATCACTGAAAAACAAGGAAACCTAAGTGTCACTGTGACAAATTTCAAATTCTAACAGTTAACTTTAGCGTTGTTTTAGCTTTCCATCTATTTTTACTTATAAAACCCACCCCCGCTCCTGCAGAGCTAACGTTAATGATGTCACATATTAGTGTTTGGACACCATGTCCAAGCACCCTGGCATACAACAGGCCCATCCCACCTCTGCACCTGCTCCATATCAAGATCCGACCAGTAGAAGACTTATATCTCTTTTGATCAGACACAACAACGGTGGCTGTAAATACTGGTCTCACTCAAAGAATACAGTTACCTACATTATAAGTGGGGGTGAAATCTGGTAAGAAATCACTGTGACTGGAATGAAACATGAGATTGAGTAAAAGTGCGTGCACTGCTAGACCGACACAGAGCTTCATCTTCAGGGAAGCACAGGCATGTAAATGAATGCAGAAATGTGTAGACGCTGTGGACAAGAAATGCCCAAAGGTTTTACTCAGTATCACTGTCCTACTGACACCGTCCATCAATCAAGTTAAACCTCCAAAACAGCCTATTTTTTAATTAACTTAATGCAGTGGTTCCCAACCTTTTTTGGGTAGTGACTCCATTTTGACAACACCAAGTCTTTGATCTCTTATTTCATACGTTGGTCAGCAACTGGTGGAGCTGCCAGCTGATTCTGGGAATTTAATTGGACAATTTCTGCATCTTTTACTAGTGTGTTTGTATTGTAGCATTATAAGCATGTGTGAAGGTAATCGCAGCAACCCAAATTATGTAACACACACCTTTGCACCTGACATGGAAACAAGAGGTCTTTATAGATGAAAAACAAAAGATTAACACACTATAAAAAGCACTTTAAAGGTTTCCAGACTTTTCCAGCACCTGATAGGTTCGGTCTTCAGGTCACAGTCAAACAAAAGCAAAGACCAATTTATACAGCATTTAATGCATCACCTGATGTTACTGTAATACACCTAATTATTATCTAAGAATTGATGACAATTTTTAAGGACTGTTTTTTTATGGATTTTCATGAACTCTCAAAAAATGCCACACTAAAATAGGAAAAGGACAAACTTGCTCCAAAGCTTGAATGACAGTCTCCTACATTCTTGAATAACTCCATTGTGAGTCTGAGCCACACTAAGATTTCTTTTCGCTTTGTTCATGCTGTGCCAATAACTGAAAGCTGAACTGTTTGAAAGAAAAGCATCACTTTCAGACATAAATTTCATTCATAAGTGTCAACAGTCAATGGAAGTAACCTCTGCTGTTCCCCACTTGTATTACAGAGCAAATAAAAATCAGAAGAGACAGCAGCGGATGCAGTGGTTGATGGGACATGGGGGGTAGGGTAGGTGAAGCGGTTATTTTGATTCAGTGCAGTGACCACATTCTGACAGAACGGCGCAGTGACAGCATCTGTCAACAAGGGGTTAAAGGGCCGAGCAGTAGATATGATCTGTGGTGCACGTACAAGACCACCTCCGACCACTTGTCAAAAAACGAAATCTCAATAAGGAGGACTCCAGCGGTTCACACGTCAGTGTTGCCTCCTGGCAACAACATACTAAGAGGCTGTGTACTCTATCAAGAGCAGGGAGTGTAAGTGACTTAGTGGTGATGTTTGTTCTTTGAAAAGAAAAAAAAGAAAGAAAGAAATGCAGCTTTTATCCTTGGACTGAGTGAAGGCTGGAGCCCAGACAGAACAACAAAAACCGAGTGAACCGGCAGCCACGCTCTGCAGCAACCGTAAAAGTTAAATGCTGTCAATTGAAAAATGTGAGAAAAAACATGGTTCCTCTGGGCCTCAAACCCTGGACCTTCTTCGTGGTAGGCAGACATTATAACCACTGCACTAAAAGATCTTGTCCGTCTGTTGTATTCTTAGGTCAAAATTCCACTTTAACTTAAAATTCTAAATTTCAGAGAACAGGGCCTTCCTAAGAGCAAGGTGCTCACAAACATTTGCACAATAGAAGTATAAACCACTGCATCACCTGGAAGTTCTTAGTAAGCTCGCAGGAAGCATCAGACGAAATAAAAAGCTAACGACTTGAGTGATGATTTACTACAAAGACAAAGGACTGTTTGCACAGCAGGTATCATGCTGGGAGGAAACAAACCTCTGGAAATCAATAATCTTGAATAAACCAGAGGATCAGGTCAAACTCTGCATTATACAATCACAGTGTCAGGAAGACTTCAAGTTAGGATGTGGTTTTAGGGAATGAGGTAATGAGAACTGACAGTGATATGTGAGAATAAAAGGACAGCTGGGAGCCCACATTAAGACGCCACTTAATCTCATTTACTTGACTTAAATCAAACATTTCTCCGGATCAGTATTTACCAACATTTCCTGAGCCAGGGTACACATTTCTCAATAGAAACACCACGCAGTGCACTACCACACAAAAATCTTCAAAACTGTACTGTATATGGGATGAAACATACTGGTCTTATAGTTTCAATTTACGTGCTCAGTTTGAAACCTGGGCCTGTTTAGTTGAACACAATGCTGATATACTCACAGGAATTGAACAAAGATAATCTGTATTGTGAACTGTGTTAAAAATAGGCCCAATACATAATGATACAAACTTGTATCTGTCGATACTGATACCAATTCGATGCCTTATGCTCTCTAATGGGATAAAGTTGAGCATTTGGTCTCAGGTATTGTATTGAGTAGGTTATAGTTTCTTTTCTATATTTGATCCTAACTTTTTGACCAATATTGGGGAATGATAAAATATTAGTTAGTTTGCATACATCTTTTGGCAGGTGAGGTTCAAGAAAAAAATAGACAAAATAAAGATGGACAATGAAACTGAACTAAAGGTGTCCGTCTTACAGCTGCAACCCTGATTTGAGAAGAGCAAGAAACTCTTCCTCATATTTTAAGAGCTTCCAGTGGAATACAATTTAAATCAATGTTAGCAAGAAACATTTACATCATCAAAAGCCTTGGAACCTAAAGTTTGTATAGAGTGTACCTTAGTGTTATCCAGCTTTGCCAGGCCAGTACATGCGTTTGCTAGCAGGAAGTCTCCGCTCAAGACAGCCATCTTATTCCCAAATTGCATGTCCTTCAGGGGACCGTCTGAAACTGTCCACTCTTTCAGATTGACTATGCCGCGATGCACCAGGAACGCAGTGTGGATCAATTCTGTGATTTCAGCCAGATTCCTTTGGCTGAAAAAAATAAAATAAAAAAAGAATAAAAGGCCATAAGTCAACTCTCAGGAGAGACATCTTTAGGCATTGACAAATGAAAAGCTTTTCAAGAACAACATTTTTTTTTATTGTTTTAATGGTGGTGATTGGTGAAATATCCAAGTTGGGCAAACAAAAAAAACAAAACATTTATTTTGATTGGGTAAGACAGGGATTCCCAAAGTATGATGTGCTGCCACTAGGGGGTGCGTAAGATAAAAAATGTGTTTTTTAGGGTTTTTTAAAAGTGGGATTTTTCCACACAAATAAAGATGTTTAAATAAATATTTCCTTTGTAAATCAAAAATCAAAATCTGACATTTTAATTAATAAATAAATGCAGCTATATAAAAGCACTGACAGTAAGTGTGCATGGACAAAGACCAAAACACTTTAGGAGAACACCAAGACAATAAAATCCCAGAATGTATTCTGTTTACAAAGTGTTAAATATGATTGACAACAGATGCTGTAAAATTGTAAAACAGACACTTTTTTCCACATAAATGCCCTTTAACTCAGAACCAGTGTACTTGGGTGCAGAAGACTACAGACATGTCAGACATCTTTGTCACATGGCATGGAAGAAGGTTACATCTAAAAAAAAGAAATTGAACTTGTCATTAGTGAATAACAGCCATTCTTGATTATAACAGAAAAGGCATTTAAGTTGCCTTTGAATAGAGCCTTTCATTGCAGCCTAAGGAAGGATATAATCAAATGTTGATTCAGTCATTGCTGGGGGATAATTAGGCCCCGCTCCATATGGAAGGAACGCGCTCCGCTGCGACAGGAGGGATCAATCCAGACAGGCTTGGGTGCACTGATAGCCACTTACGACCTTCTTTCAGCCTCTGTGAGAACCTGATGAGCCTGTTGTCTTTTTGCACAAACCCCTTGCCACACAAAGACACACACATTTGTCTCGTCTCCAGGTAATTGCTGTGTGAAAAGATGTGATTAAAATCCCATAATGTCATATATGTCATCTCTCAATCATGTCCATTGTCTGGTTAGTTTTTTTTTACCAGGTCTCGCAGGAAATCAATGCACTCACCCCAAATAAAAGTTAATAGGTTAGTTTTTAAATAACAGGAAGTGGACTGTCTGTCACACGTTTCAGGACAAAGAGTCGTCTTTTACAACCCTTGTACAGTAGATGTTTGATTTTCAGTTCTACTGAGGCCAGAATGTAGGTAAAAAGTGAAGACGCAAGGTCTACAGTTTACAACGTCTTCAACCTCTGGTGTTTACTTCACCATCTCCCATACTAAGAAAGTCCTGTTCCATCATTCCAATTTCAAGATTTGTCTTTTACACATTTTATTTTATTTTATGCACTTTTGAGTAGGCCAAATTGAACCCCCCAGTGGGCTGGTTTTGGCCTTTTGTAACCCCTTCTATAAACATAACCAACGTGCACTGCAACATTTCTAGTTTTCACAAAGAGATGGAAAAACAATTTGTATTTGGGTTATTAGAAGGTAAAGCTGCAGACGACGGAAGCATAATTTCTGTTATTAAATATTTGACCAGGTCTAACGAATGGATAAGGAGGGTAATGGGACAGATTTTAGAGAACTATATATAACTTTAGAGTTATAGTTACTATAGAGGAATAACAATGGTCGGTCATGATGAAGGTACAGAAAAGAGATGTCCAAGTGAAGCTAAGGCCGGAGGTTCAGATCAGGCAGCAGTTGTTTGGTTATATTTGCTGATACTCCATTCAAATGTGTAGTAAAGACAGTACTTTTTCTTTTGTTTTTTGGCAGCATTTCATTATTGTACCTAATATAGTTGTACTTGAAAAAAATAGCTGTCGAGTAGCGCCACTCTCCAAGACAAACTAAACGACGGGTTTTAATTATGGCAGTTTGGATGCCAGAGATAATGTTTATATCTCATTTGTGTGATAAACAAACTCCTACAGGAAAGAACTTGGGCTTGAGTAAACACTTTTAAATTTTAAATCAACAGTCTTTCAAAAATTCAGACTAGTTGATCCTGGGTGCACACCCTTTAAAAGGCTGTGCCTCCTGGTCCTAATGAGCAGCAGTGTGGAACCTGGGGAGGGAAAAAAAGGGGGACATGGGAGTTGGTGTATAAATAGCTTTGATGCCCAGTTGCATAGCAACCGATGCCATCTTGCAGAGGTTTAACGCCCCCTGCCACGCCCCTTGTCCTGACTGTTCTGTTCCATTTTCCTCCTCTGCAGTCTGCCTCACCATCAACTACAGGCTGATTTTCTTTTCTTTTTTTTCCCCTTTTCCCTTATGTTTTCTGTTAAATATTCCATCATAATCCCCATTCTACTTTCTATCCATCTGTCTGTGCTTCGGCAAATCATCAGTGTCAGGCAGCAGAGTGGGAAATGTTTTAGAAATGCTGCCTGTCAAGAAGAGGAGACCATGCCCCGAAGGCTTAAATAACTGACCGAGTCACCCACCCCGTCTCCCTCCACCTTCCATCTCACCAGCGGCAGTAGTGCTAATGAGACAGGGAGAGGTGGAGGGTGGGCCAGGGGATGGAGGGTGGTGGGCTGGGGAGGGTGGGATGGTGCAAATGAGGTGATCAAGTCATGTTGTGTTTGGGACTGTGTTACGGTTCGGAGTAATCTATGCACACGGGACTGAGGGAATACTACATGTTGGATTCAGTAACGTGGTATCGTAGTGATTTGAAAAGTAACGTGGATCTCAGAAAAAGAATCCAGACTGAAGCACGTCGATGATGTCTGTTTTATTCCATTTAGTTCTAATATTAGGATGTTACCGCACAGACACAGCTCTTGGCTACACACACATACGCTCCGTGCCAGCTTGCTGTAAGAAAGAAGCCTTTCAGACACTAAGGGCAGGGTCATGCCAAAGACAGCAGTCACTTCTGGAAAGCTCTTGGCACCAGTGCATCTTACCATTCTAAGGTGCAGGCAGGTAGCAACTGTGAGGTGGAGGGGTGGACCAAATGTTCTACCTAAAGCTGAGGTTCTATCATCATTTTTTCTTTAGGACGCAACCATAGTGTTGACTCACGATTCCATCCATACACACCAGTGGTTAATATTCACCTAATCAAAGAAGTAGTTTTCTTTGTCACAGTACATTTAGACACACCACAGATACAGTGTGTCCTCTGCATTTAGCCTGTCCATTGAACTGGAACAGAGGGCTGCACTGTGGCCCAGTGTGTGGGAGTTTTTGTTGCTTCTGTCAGGTGAGAGATGATGTGGGAAAGTTTCATAATTACTTACTAAAATGTTGTGCTGAAGAAGACTTATATGTTATATGGACTATCAGGCAACTCTTTACTTTGAATGACTTTAAACTATTATCAGTGCGAGTAGTGTCATCATTAAAAAAGATTGACACAGAGAGGTTTTTTTGTGTGTATGTCACACCTCAGACTGATGACATGTTTTGCTCCCCATTATGACATTCTGTGCATGGTACAAAAGATCCACTGCCTCATTTACAAGAATTGATATGAACAGTAACCACAGAGGACGAGATTAGGTTTCCAGAGACACAGACCTGATTTCAATATTTATACCATGTCCCAGGGAACAGGGACAAAAGTTGATCTACTCCCATGCATGTTTATGGCTAGACCACACAACCTTACATGTGTTTCATTGTTCACGGTTCCCTCCAATAACAGTATACTGCATAATTACAATTTACCTAGAAAACTGGCTTTATGATTATACTACTCCCTGAAAAGGTCTGACGGTTCATCCATCAAAAACGTTAAATGTTTGATGGATGACATGTATTTTTTTTTTGTATGGGTTTAAATTGACAAAATGGTATTTGGTGTAAACTAGCTGTGTTGCAATGTCACATGAACATCCATTGCAAATTGGCAATGTTTGATTGTTGTGAAACTAGCGGGAAAACCAAAACAGCCAGGAATTAGCCCTGATTTCATTGATGAAACATGATCCACTCCATTTAGTACACTGCTGCCCAGAAACAGTGACATTTTTGTTCACAGTCAGACACACTGTAAAGATTTTGTTTTGTAACTGGATGAAGGATCATGGGTGTGCAACAAGGCTGTGTATCTGATGAACCTCAGATAAATCCAATTAACTTTCTATTGACACGTGTATGTAGTTGGTGTGAAAGGTTATTCAGTTTTCACACCAGAGTGTCACTATTACTGTTGAGCTGAGGTTCCAACTGCTGCTTAACCTTGAAGCAAGGATTAAAACCTAATTTCAATATGCCAGACCGCTCCAGCAGAGGGCGCTCTTAACTTTGGCTTTCCTTTCAGTCCAACAGTAAAAGAAGACAGCTCTACTAATTCGTTATTTGTAACTAGACGCCTTAACTCCTTGTTGTTACACCAACAATCCCCTTCTCCATCCTGTCCCTACTTCAAAGGGGAAAATAAATTGCGCCCCACCTGTCATGCCTCCGTTCCCACCAGTGGGACCTGTAATTACAATGAGCACCTGTTCGTAGGCATTAGAAATATCAACTCTGCCCAAAGTGGTGTTGGGCAGCTGATGAGGACGTTCTAGAGTTTTTCCCTCTTGACACACAGAGGGTGCTGGTGTTTCCACCTGAGCCTGTTTAGTTAACCACAAGGCTGATATACTCTCAGGAATTGAAGAAAGCCACACACAAAGAAGAGTATTTTACTGTCCTGCTTGTAAATGATAGTTTCCAAACCAATTAAGTGAAATTGCTAATATTTCGCAGTACACCTGATTTTCTCTCATGGTGGAGTGCTTTGGAATCACTGTTTTAGTTCTTGTCTGAATTGAGTGCAACGTATTTATGATAGAAACCATTTTGGTTTCATGCACACTAGGATAAATATGATAGAAACAATTTTGGTTTCATGCACACTAGGATAAATAAAGTTCCAAACCATCTCAACCAAGTGTCTCGTGGGACCTACCTGGGGTAGATACCGCTGACCATGTCCTGAACGAGGGCATCTGATGCTGCATGGCTTGGTCCTGCAGCTTTTGACATGAGTAGGACAATCACACCTCTCATTTGAAGGTTGTTCCTGTTGTCGTAGACAAAGCCTCTGCAAGGAAACACCATAAATCAGCATAAACCGTGTGCAATTATACATATGAACGATACGGCTAAGAACCATTAAGAACTGCAAGGACTTCAAGACTCAAGGTGCCTAAAACCATTTTTATTTTACTTGCATGATTACAAAGGGAATGCAGGGGATCCTTGGTTCTGGACCTACAGCGTTTTGGGGTAACATCGCCATCTACCATAAATTTATTAGAATGTCTTGTTCAATCATTCCAGCATACAGAGTTAAAACTAGATGGCGAGCGGAGTGGATGAATCACCGTCACGTAGCAATATACACGGAAGATGGCTTTGTTTACAGTCACTGTTTTCACCCAATACATTGGATTGTGAAGCTTGCTTCCTTGATGTATGGTTTTTGGGGCACTTTTTGGTAAGAACGGAACTCTAACGTAAGTTGAGGATCCTCTGTTCATTTTCTGTAAAATGTATTTGTACGTGATTATTTAAAAAAACATCTTGAATACCAAATGAGGATCTGCTATATTTATTCTGCTCCACGAAAATAGCAGGCGTGTCTTTGAATGATACTTCAATGCAAAATAAACAGGATTTAATGAATTGTTTCTGTCGTAGAAATCAGTTAGCGTAGGGGGTTCGGGTTGATGTGCTTTTCTTTTGTGTTTTTTTAGGAGGGGGGGCACTGGGGGCTGTTTCGCCTCTAGCAAACACATTCTCACACACTTACGCACAGTAGGAACCTTGTGTGTGATGGGCAGATTAAATGTCTTTTTACTCTCTCTCCGGGGAGCAGTTACACAGAGCACCTCTAATCCTGTTCCTGAGGGAGATCCTCATGCCATGAATCACACTCTCTTTAGGCGCTCAAAGACAGGCACGGCGCCACGCCCCCCCTCCGCTCAATGCCCTGATATCGGCCTCACCACCCTGCCATCAACGAAGAGCCCCTGCCTCAAACCCCCACCCTTTTCTAACCCATCCCTGCACCACAGGGGGAGGTACAGGTGCAGAGACAGAGCTGATATGAGAGATGTAGCAATAAGAGAAGGAGGGGAGGCAGGAACGTGAGAGAGAAAATATATAAAGAAACAATGATTTTTATTGATTTTTTTATCTTGCACATCGCCTAAAGCTTTTTACCTTCCCTTATACAATGTTTCCTAAAACTTTATGAGAAGCTCACTTAATTTATTTTACGGTCACTCTAAATTTTTTACACAGTTGGAAAATAGCACCAGGGAGGTGCACTGATGAATGCACCACACGGCTGAACACAACATTGCCAGAGATCAAAAATGATGAAGCCGCTCTCTAGGGAGTCCAGGTAAGCCTGTGGCCTGACGGCGGAAGACGATTAATATTTATGTCACCATTCACCCCAGCGTACATCAATCAATCACAAACTGCAGAAGGGCTGGGCGACGATGATGTGAAAAATGAGGGATACTTGTGGCCTTAGTGACGCAGGGGACCAAAGAGGGGGAGAGGGAGAGAGAGAGAGAGAGAAAGAGAGAGAGGGGGAAAGAGGGAGAGAGAGAGAGGGAGAGAGAGGGAGAGAGGGATACGACCAGTGACATTTTAAAAGGCTGTGAACAGGTCACCACACTACTGCTGTGAAACTGCAGCACAGTAGAACTTCAGCCATGACATGTACACAGGCAGCAGTTAATGCATGCAAATATGTGACCTCACATCAGCAGTTCCCAACCTTTTTTGGCTAGTGAACCATTTTGACATCAAATTTCTGGCAACTGTGCGATCGCAGCTGTTAATCAAGATGCGCCAGCTTGGATATTTTTATTTGCTGCATTTTATTTTAACCCAATTTATATATATATATATATACACTTTTTTTTCTTTTACAAAACTGAAGGCCTTTATCCTTTAAAAGTGGCGACCACACACTATTTTCTTTTTTATCCTCACAATTTTGGAATTGGAATTTGGCACGCAGACTGCCAGTTGATGATCAGTGACTTAAATTGAGAGTAACTGTTTTTTGCAATCCCCTTAAATAATGAATCTAACAATCGTTTGCTGTAAGTCTTACAACAAAATAATAAGTAGCATTGAAATCGGAGTTTATTGTCATTTAAGTAACTAGCATCACTTATTTTTTTGTCTTTCATGAAATGAGGACAGCAAACTTAAAGTAGATTTTTTAAACCTTAATCAACAAAATCGATTGTACATTATTCACAGTAAAAGCTACAATTATACAATAATAAAATGAATAATAATAATAAACTGTAACAATGAGTGAATGAAATGGCAATCCAAGTTTAGACCTGAAACAAATATTTAAAAAAAAAACAAAAAAAAAAACAAAGAGCCGCAGCAGAACTGAAAGACCAACTCTCAAGGACTGTCCTTAAAGCAAGTCGAGTTTCCTCTCCTGGGCCACAGTCCCCTTTGCTGTAACTCCAGACTTTGGGCCAAAGTTAGCTGAGCTGCAGTTTTTGAGAATGAAAGGAAAGGAAAAACCGAAACCCAACTCCACGAGGGTCTGCCTGTCTGCTGTTGTGGATATTTTTATCCGCTGTGCGTCTAAGGCGTAGACACAGTGGGGGAAATACGAACCAACCAACCCAAGCTGACAGAGAGGAGTCAGACTGTCAAGAGGTCTACTTCTCTCCTCACCACCCCCACACACCGCTACAACAACCAAATGGGTTGTCATATCAGATTTAGGTGTATAGGTTATTACACCCTTGGGCTCCTTTTTCTAACGTGCCCGTCTGCATGGCGGGATCAAGTTTGAGGACTTTCTCTTCTTCTTCTCTAACTTTCTGGATGCTTTTGATAAAAGTGAAAAAATGTGATTCAATTGAAAAAGATATGCAACGCTGTGGGAAATGTGATCTGTCTGAGTGACTTCATCATTATGCAACTTTGGTTTTGCAGTTGCACAACAAATCAGGTCTGTTGCCTACAAGCAACACACGTATGAAGTAGGTTGGAGACGGAGTCCTCTGATCAAACTGATTTGTACAGAAACGACCAATGAAAGAAATGACTTTGACAAACGAGGGATTTGTTTAGATCGTTGAAAAGAATCAATACAAATCACAATATTTATCAGAGAAAAAAAGAGGTCCAAACACTTTACTGGGAATAACTGTAGTCAAAATAAATGTCTAATCTTCACCACCTCAACCATTCATACGAACCAGAAATGCATAATTATACCGCCCTGAAAGACACAAAAAGAACCTGTGTTTCATATGCTTGAGATTTTATGACACCTGGCCATTGATAGATATTAAAAAAAATGATGATGATAATAATAATAAAAAAATATGACAAGCTTAATAACCCCAAGCTGCAGAAATCGTGGTGTTAACAGCAGATCTGCTTCAACATGTTGCCCCTTGGAGGCGCTAAGTATGTGGTTTCTCTGGGGTTTGAACCAGGACACTAGCAGTGACCATCTCTAGCAACTAGGCTTCTTCAGTGTACCGGTACTAAAAAGGCATTACGGTACTGAAGCATTCAAAATATTTTTGTTTGTGAACTACCTGCTATGGCACGGTGCACCGTTTGCAAAGATGACATAGCCGGACCAGAACCAAAACTAAGAAGTAAATACAACAGCTCTATGCAAGTAATAAAATGTTTAGAGCAGGGTCACCGAACTCTTCTGGACACACACCTTGGGGGCCGGACACTCAAATAAAATGAAATAAAAATCACATTTTTGTCTTACTTTAATATTTGATGCTTATTTTGGAATCCAGTTGCGGGCTGGATCGGACAACTTGGTGGGCCAGATTTGGCCTGCGGGCCACAACTTGATGATCGCTGGTTTAGAGGCTGATGGTGCCAAGTTCATATTAGTAAGTAAACATATAATAATACTAATATTTGCAATAGTATAAGTTGACAATGGTACCTTTAATTTCCTCACATGATGCTTGTATATTGCATAATGTCTGACCTGAGACACAAAGAAACAAATAAGAAGATAATACAAAATATGACACAGTGACAGTTAACACAAAAAGCAGAGTCAGACAACCCCAGTAACAGGGACATTAGTTCTCTGTATAAGGTACATTAGCCGCTGGCATACGTTCTGTGTTATTGTTAAACACAGAGTTTGTGTCTGCATTGTTTTCTACACCTGATGGTGCTATGCAAGTTTTCTGTTCTGTTAGCATGTTTACATGTTTATTTCTTAAAGCAATTTATTGATTGTTGTTATAAATAAAACCCTGCAGAAAATGTTTCAATTTCCAAACATATTCTGTTTAAATGCCAATGGTTTTGTCTGTAGTGCTTTAAACCCTGTTGTATGAATATGCTCCGGGGAGACCTGTATAATAATGTTAAACTAAAACATTTAAAAGCACAAATATCCATTCAGTCCATTATAATGAGACACTGAGGAACGAGAAGTCACTCCACTTAAGATAAAAGAAATGATACCTAACCTAGAACCTAGAAACTGTTGTACACAATAATTTGATACGTTATTTAAAACGAAATCTGAACTATGCAGTCATCGCTGACAGACGCCTTTGTGGGATCTCTGCACATTTCTGAACGGGGTCCAGTGGAGAGGAGCCGCTCTAGACATACATTATATGGAGCAACAGTGTCATTTCAGCAGTGTTACCTGGCGGTGCTGAGTAATGGGTGTCGGGTCCCCACCAGCTTCCTGACATTCACAGCAACATTACTGAGCTCATCGCTGAGGAGACAGCGCAGACTCATAAACGAAGTTGGATATCCCACGATCTTCTCTGCGTCGGAGACTACTTTACTCCAGTTTGAAGGTCCCGAGCTGGAGAACAAACTTAGCGCCCTCTGTCCCCGGCTGTACAAAGCCCTGCAGCAAAGTCGACAGCATGTGGTTGGAAGCATTTTCCGTGTTATCGGTATCGTCTGTCACACAGTAACCCAAAGTTTATTTCAGCCACTTGCTATAATCGGAAACAGTCACCGGGCTCTTCTGCTGACCATCTGTCACAAGTGTGAAGTATTACCGGTATTTTCTTTAAAGAAAAAACATGTACAATATTCACTTCTTAGACAAACTTAACATGCTGTCATTGAAAAAAAGAAGTGTATCTCATAACACGACCGGTCACTGGAAGCCGCCATCTTGAAATACGTAGTACGTTATGAAATATACGTCATGACGCCTATTGTCATACGCCACATGGCTAAAGGACGCAAAGCACTTCCGGTGTAAACGCTTAATCGCGTGTTTAAACTAGCAATACTCTCAAAGTTAAACATAATATGCAAACATGTATGCGTTTTTGTAAATATAATTTAGCATATCAAACATTATGAAATAGAGTGTTAAGCTCATTTCTTATCAAATCGATGCAACGTCTCTGTAAATATAAATGTAAGAACAATTTATATTTTAAATATTGAAATACATATTTATTATAAACTGAATGTGCCTTTTTTATCCACGGGACAAATCTTTTTGACCACTCCTCCTGCCTGGCATTTCTATGTCAAACTACCTTTGTCCGTTTTTTAACCACTATCTGTCTAATAAATACATTTTTCATTGTGCTGCTTTCTTCTACATCAGTGATAACCAACTGGTGGCCTGAGGGCAGAATATGGCCCGCCAAACTGTCCATACACAAGTTTCAAACTACAAGAGCATTGTTAGTTTGTAATCTAATTGATCGTGTAAGTAATGTTCAATCAATAGGAAACATCAATAACACATGTTTACAGCTCGTAAGGTAACCTACAAGTTAAAGTTGTTGGGATAGCAGGGACAGCAGCTTAGGGCCAGGTCATTGTAAATCAAGACCAGACATAAAATTTAGCTCAGTGATGAAACAGCTTTCAGTTTCATCTGTTAACTCTCTATTGTCATTTAAACACGGTACAGATCAAAGTAATATTTAAAATACATTTCTTCAAGTATATATTTTAGTCCTGTATTACTTACTGCGATCTCTTATCATGAACAGCTATCCCCTTGCTTCTCTCACTGCCTCTGTGACTGTACACCATGCACATGTGCTTTCCTTCCACCAGGTAAGATCGACAGCCCAGCTCTGGAGTTGTCTCACTCTAACCCCGTATCACAGTTCACAGCACCTGTTTCTGCTGTTTTCCTGGCTAAAATGGGAGTAGCTGTGCTTTGAGCGACAATTCCTGATGGACACTCTCAGCTTCTTTCCAGCCGTGCACTCATTGCCCTTCCAGTTAAAGCCAGGGACAGCTTGTAGCACACACAACAGAGAGTCAGTGCCAAAAGCCAAAATCTGATATAAACGGCCGATGACTCAGTTTAGTCTGTCTGATGCAACACTGCTTTACTCCTGAAGAAATACGCTGCCAAACAAGCATTTTATGAGCAGTCCATAAATTTATACCAAATGTGTGCACACACTGTTTATATCTAGAGATGCATGTTGATGCAAAAGGGGTGTCTGTGGCTTAGTACTTAGTGCTGTCATCTAACAACAGGAGGATTGTAGGATTGATTCCAGAGTAAGAAATGCACATGTTGCCTCCCTGAAACCCCTTCAGTCAAAACGTCAATGAAAAAACCTGTAGTGAAAAGCACTGTGTGTGGTAACCAGGAATGGAAAGCAGCTTTGTACAGACCTCTTTCAGTAAGAAATCCTGCCCATATGTTAGTCCATATGCGAGTTCATGTAATCATGTCATGTTGTTGTGTCTTTCAATTTATTGTAAATCCAGTTACTTTAAATATTTCATGTAGTAGAACCACATTTCTGTGATTATTATTAGTCAGCAAAATTGTCTTTTGAAGGCCACATGCTGTATAAGTTGATTTAAATGGTTTATTTCAAATCCACTCCCCTAAAGAAACCCCACGGTTCTGGGAGAAGAGACAAAATATTAGCAAAAGAAATGTTAAAATATAAGAATATTGAAAAACAATGTGTAACAAAAAGCACATAGATATGAGCTCTGTGAACACTCGCCCATACTGGTGGAGGAAAGAAGGTATTGGATAAATATCGTTATCGGCAGATACTCCAAGATGCAGTATCGTATCAGATATGAAAAAGTTGTATCGAGAATTCCCTAAAATGGTTTAGGAAACACAACAAATTTGAAACAAATTGAAACATTTTGGTGCAGGCTTAAAACTAAACCTGACCCACTGAGGTGATCGTGGTTAAAGCGGGGTTGGTACCAATCAAACAAGAGCAACATTTTAGAGGCTCATCGTTTTGTTGTTGAAAAGCTACAGTTGCACAGATGGCTGGCACACTACTGTGCTGTAGCATCCCGGCCAGCCCTGTCACAATCACAACCAGCCAGTACTGGCTTACCTGTTTCAAGGTGATTCTCTCACAGCAAGTCTACGAAAACCTAAGTGATACATTGATTTGTCCTGTAACAAGTGTTTTGCGTGAAGGATTAGACATATAAAGATGTACTAAGCTATTACAACTAGTAAAAGTATACAAGGATGGTTGTTTACTTTTTAAATTCATTTTCAGTTTATACTTTCCCCCCTTTCTCACAGATGTGCTGCTGACTAGGATCAATTATTTGGGCAAATAATGAACGGTAACAGCCCACCATTGAGCAAGACCCATCACTGAGAATGGACCCAACGCTGCCTTTACCCTTGAGTTTTCACTCGATGTAAAGTGAGTGGACTACCTGGGAAGAGGAACAGCAGCAGCAGCAGCATCAGTGAGGTAAAGGCTAACACTCAGCTGAAGAACACAGTGATAATGTGCGTGTGTTTGGATGGAGGAGAGTGCGGGCACCTGTTAGCTGCTTCCAGGCTATCTTGAGGCAGCAGCGCTAAGTGGATGTGACGGTTCTGATTGCTGCTCCATGGGCAAGCGAGAAGAAACAGCCTCCCTGTGATCAACGCGTCATATAATGTTTCAGCGCACGCCCCTCCCCCTGTCTCGTTTTCTCCCCTCACTCAACCTCTCCTTTGACTCACAGAGGCGGCTCACCACTGCAGGCGCACGGACCCGTGGAGGATACGGGCAGAAGATGGCTGACTTAGCCGGGCACCGAGAGCCCACGGCCGCATTACCACGTTCAGCGTCAATGGGGCCGCTGAAAAGTGGCGAGACAGCCGCCGTCTGGCGACTGTAAACAGCTGCCTCTCCTCTCCTCCCGCCTTCTCCTTTCTCTCCCCCAACCTCACTGCAAATATTGGTACAAGTGTCACAGAGGAAAAACAAAAAACAAAAAAAGAAAAATGGCAGAGATGGAAAAAGAGGGCAGACCTCCGGAAAATAAAAGAAGCCGAAAACCAGCACACCCGGTGAAAAGGGAAATAAATGAGGAGATGAAGGTAAAGAGACGCGGGTCTGTGCCCCGCAGCTGCATGTCATTACGCGTGGTTGTGAGGAGCGTGCATGTGTATTCAACCACCAAAACAGGCGTTCTTGGTGATATACACAAAAGAGTCAAGTGCAGCTCTCTGCATGGTTATCGAACTTTCATTCATGCTTTTTTTTTTATTTCCATATGTGGTTTTTGTGTGTTTTCCTTTTAAATGGCAACCTCGGCGGCGCGCTGCTTTGCACGTTGGATGCGGCACAATTCACTGGTCCGGTTCTGTAGTAAGTTTGGAGAAAAGAGAACGCGCTCCTGTCATAATTTCATTGTGTCTGTGTCTTTATGTGTCTCTCTGTGGGGTGTGTGTGCGTGCGCCAAAGCCTTCGTGGCTTACTCAGAGTTAATGGAAAATCCAATGCGTCAGTGAAGGCGTCAACAGTGGCTCTACTACTGCTATTAATACTGTTCCACTACATGCGAGTTTAGAAATCAATGGGGAAACACTGGCGTTGCCGTGAAGCGTTTCTTTGTGGGGTCTGTGTGTGAGTATTGCCCCTCAGACAAGATGAGGCGTGTGTGTGTGTGTGTTTGAGTGGGAGTGTGTGTGTGTGTTGACCAGCTGACAAGAGGCGTGTAATCCAGATGTGCGAGTGTAAATCTTACGGTTTCTAAAAGAGCACAATGTCTGACGGTGTTTAGTCTCCACTACTGTTCTCCCAATAACTATATATATATATATATATATATATATATATATATTTGTGTGTGTGTGTGTGTGTCAGAGCACGTTGTGATACCTGAGCTCTGTCGTCCGTGCGGTTCATTGTGTTGATAAACACAACATAAAGTGTTGCGTGAGACATGCGTGCGTGTTTGTGGTAAGTGCGAGTGTGTGTGTGTGCGCGCGCGCGCTTGTTTTGGGGTGATTGTGTGTCCACGCTTTGTCTTCACCTCCTCATTGTTTGTACACATGTGGCCTCAGACGCTCAGGCAGAGGCGGCCGCAGCTTCTGCGCTCATGGAGCTCAAGAACGCGCAGGTGATGAAGCCGCTGCCACTGGCTTTTAGTGCCGTGATAGTCGCTGCAAATAAAGACATTTTGTACTGACAGGTATCACCTGTAACTGCTCTTTTATGATAAAACAAAAAAGAAGAAGAGGAAGAAAAGAAACAGCGCATTTGTTGACGGCAGTCTGTGGTTCGTTGTTGAACTGGCCAACAGACCACATTTATCACCATTCTAAAGAATGCCACGCATAATATTTAAGAACAGTGCTGGCATTACAACTTTAGACGGACGTGCTTTGTACACAAATATATATATATATATATAATTTTTGTCCAAGAATACCAGTGATACCAGTGAACTCGTCCATATTGCTGTATGTCCGAAGAAGCGACACAGAACGTGTTAGTGTGTGCGCAGAAATGTCCTGTTTTTAGAGCATTACAACACGGAGACATGTCTCGGTGAGTCTTCGAGGCTGTTGTTTTGACCACATCACACAGTATGAAAATTACGACTTCAACTGGTGTAAAGGAGGGAAATCTCAGGCCACGTAATTAATAAGTCAAAGCTGGTTTAAATGAAGAGGGTGGTTAGAGGCTGTGTGGTCCAAACACTGACTGTACTCTACTGTACTGTACTGTACTGTACTGTATGTAACGTGGTCAGAATGAAAAGTGTTGATAAAGTTGAGATTGTGCCACATAGATGTTTAGGATTAATCTGATGTGTGGCTTGATCCATACAATTGAGAATTGAATAAAAAAAAAAGAAATGATGAAAGAAGTTACAGTAAATATAGCAAATACAAATATATATTCATGTACTGTTGTTAATTTAAATGGTAACAGAGGCTGGTATAATGATGCACCGTGGATTTACCACCTGAGTGCATTTCACTCTTATAATCCAACTCCCAAAAGAATATTTTCCAAGTGTCTTGTACAAAAAGAAAGTGAGTTTGTTCCTTCTGACTTGTTCAGTTTGGATGTTTCTCCTCAAGGCCAAAGGAAAAAATACCAACTGAAAGCCACAATGTGCCCTTGTTTTGAGGATCCCAGTCTGAAAACCTAGCAGTCGGACAGTGTTTTCTTCATCTGGCTTCCTAATGTGTGCCATGGTAAAATAAGCTCTGGTGAGTAATCAAGGAGGAGGAGGAGCGGGAATGGAGGGCAGAGGAGAGGCTGGGGAGCGGGGTTAGAAACAGGGAGAAAGGAATGTATACAGCACTGGGCCGGCTTAGCTGTAAAAACTGTAACCTGAATGTCTCCGTGGGATCAGATGTCAAGGAAATTAAAGCAGAGGAGAGGGAACAAGGGAGTGGAAATGTGGTGAAAGAGGAGGCAAAGGAAACTTGGTGTGTGGATTCAGGAATTTTATCATGGTGTACTGTGACTTGCTCTGGTTTCTATCTGCAAGGTTTCCTGTTTCCACCACCATCATTACAACAAGTGTGGGCTATGTCTAGGTCTGACTGGAGAGAAACAAGCGGTGAGGCTGTAGACACGCAGAATTTTGGTTTTGTCCCCTTATCTTTGCAGAGTGTTGTGCATGAGCACTGAAATTTGCAGTTGGTTTTTTTCTGGATATTTAATCGATCTGGATTTTGACTTATCCCACGTACAAGTGACTCAACAAATTGTCATCAGCGCTCTCTGGTGGTGTGAAGGGAATTAATAAATATTGGCTCAGAATGTAGCAGGTGCTTGGGGCAGAGTTCCCTAAAATAGTTGCCTTCAAAAGCTGGAGCTTTAGATGCTACTGCAACACTGTCAATAACATAACTAACAACAACATCAACCCTTTCTGGAGGGTCAGGGGCAGATAGATGGAGCATTCGTGTGAACTAAGATAAATGACATGTAAAAGTCATGCATGAAAGCTAAAATGCTAAAATGCTTTTATCATTTTCTATGCCATCTATTGGGGAAACATCAGTATTGCAGGGAAAAGGCAGAAGTATAATGATAATATAAATAAAAATTATATAATTTGGAAAAGTTTGGCGGGCCGGATTAAAAAGCTGAACGGGCTGCATCCGGCCCCTGAGCCTTAGTTTTCCCATTCTTGGGGTACCATATACAGGGAGTCCTCAACTTAGGTCGGAATTCCAAGTGAAACTCACCTACTGTACGTGGGTACCTATGTGACTCACATACGTTCTGCAGTGGTAAAAGTGTTCAAAATGTATCAGAAATATATTATTTTGTCTGTCGGTTCTGTGCATCATGTTATACAAAATGAAGTAAAACCGACTGCTGCATCAGTCACTTCTCAATTCCTGTAGATTCTTAAACATTGTACATTGATAAGCCTTTATTAGCGTTCTCTTTCTTCAAGGTACGTTGCATTATTTCTATTTTTAAATGTATTTTGATAACCAATAGGTATAGATAATTCTTGTGCCTTAGCTTTTACAAGGCTGTGCAGAGCTATGACTGTCGCCTCACCTAAATATCCACTAGGTGTCAAATGCATGAAAGTAAACTGTCGACGTATTCTGCTTCTTGGCCAGTGTTTGTTGGTAGAGATGGTTCCAGGATAACGACTTTGGACTGTAGGTGTGACAATGCATATTTAGTTTAAACTAGTTAAAGGTACGTATATTTTTCATCTTTTAGATTTTCTTCCTGTAATGCATCGGCAAACTGTCCATAGCTTTTGCAGATATTTCACAAAATGTTCAGAGTAAAGAAGTTGTCCTGTTTCCACTTTAGAAGTTTTTAGATAACTTTTCCCGCTGACTATTTAAAAAATAATACACTCCCAAACCTTCCCATGCAGTTAGTGTAACATATAGACATCTGTAGCTGCCAGAGTCTCCAAAAGCTCCTCCATGCAACCCCACCAAAGTTAGTGCGCCGCTTTGATGACTCGCCAACACGGGTTTGATTTCAGCCTTAATAATACTCCCACTTTCTCAAAGTAGTAGGGTGACACAGAGGACAGGACGGAAGGAAGGAAGGAGAGACACAGAGATGCAGTGTTTTGTCACCGTGATCTGGTTATTTTACATCTACATCCATTTGACTCAAGAGCGCATTTAGAACAAGTTATGCTTCAACTCATTTGTTCAAAGAGAGGATTTTCTCCTCTGTGATTCCTTTCCTCTCAAGGTTTCATCTTCAAGTTGCACTAATTGCCACAGTTGCTCTTGCCAGTAGGTGCACTTTGGGTCTATCAGAGCTCTGTCACTTCTTGGCCCATCGTTAGGAATTCACACCACAACCAACTGCTGCTTTTAAAACTGTGTGGCAAAACCTTAGTGTTAAAACAAACAAAACACGATGACAGTTATTGTTGAAGTTTTGGGGGTCATCGTAGTAATATCAGAACACGACTTCAAAGAAAACCCAGCAGAAAGTAATCAAGTTTATAACTCTCTTCTTCAAGGCCACTGTTTCAATAGGCTTCCCAACCAACCCACAAAAACACCAGGCAAAAACTAAATGATAAGGCAGGGCTTCTAGTTTTCAGTTTATTTACATTATGAAACATGGCCCTGTTTAGTTGAACATGCCGCTGATGTACTTGCAGGAATTGAAGAAAGACACGTAGAATTTCTTGAACAGTTCACTCTCTTTTTTGTTGTAATAGCCACCTGCTGCCACCTAATGGAAAATAATTTGTCATGGTCGCATGGAAGAACAAAGAACACAATTATTTGCACTTAATAAATAATATTTCTTAGACCAATTCTCCATGGCACACTAAATGAGGGGCTGAACATAACATGAGGTACATGAGTCAGATATAAGTGCTGTGTGGAGAAGTAAATAATGAGGACGGTAAGAAAATTGATCAAATGGCTGTAATAGTTACCTCTTTTAGAAAGACAGTCTGAACAGCAACAAACAAAGGAAATATTAATAAAAATGTGATGCAGCATGCTGCGTTGTTAGCTTGTGTTGCTGTCAGAAGCTAACTTGAGCTGTGCTCAGGAAGAGGTCATAAATGTGACCTCCAGGAGCCTTTAGGCACACCGTGCACTGCTGTCACTCAGTGCTGTTCAGGATGAAGTGGAGTCACAGCTGCTTCAGTCATGAAATGTTCTGATTACCTGTCTTCACCGCACTGACACCTCCTGTATCTTGTCAAGAGAATGGAGTTAGTGTAAATAACTAGTCATCCAGGCACAGAGCTGTAAATGACAGTCAGTGACTCCATTTCCTTCCCTGATACAGTGGACATGAATGTGTGTTGATCACCACACAGCGCTGATAGCTTCACCTGTCGAAGATCCAGTGCCTGCAGCGTTTCCATCCACTGATCACCACAGCAGTGTTATACAGCAGTGAGATTAATGAAGCCTATCCTTGTCAATGATTTACTGTATATCACTAGAGGTCCAAGTGACTTATGGGTAATGGTTGCTTCTGTCAGGATGTCATATTCAGAGTAAAGCGAGACTGGATACAAAATACTGCACATGCTATTGGGTTTGCCTTGACAAAACAAGGCCTTTTATAAACTTTTGTACATAAACACCCTGTATGATCTGATGTGTCATGTGTCAGGTTAACACTGGCCACCAAGATGTTTACATTAGCAGGCATGTTTATAGCGACAGTTCTTCTACAGCTTTTTGCTGGTATCTGGACCAAAGGGGCAAACAGGAGGGACCATATGTTCTGGGTGTGTCAGCTCCACTTTAAAACCTGGAACAGTGATCCCAGGGATAAGAAAGGACAGCGTCATGTTTACCAAGGAACAGATTTTATCCTCCAAGCTGAATTTGTATCAATCCTCGCTAACTAATTCCTCATCATCTGTCAGATGAGTCATGTACAGGCGATTCATCTGTACTTACTGCTTTGAAATAAAATGTAATCATTGTGGGCTAATAACTACAACAATGAGGGTTGTTTAGAACTGAGTAAATGTCTGGACTGCATGAGAAGTGGAGTTGTTGTGTTTCTTGACTGAAAGATATGATAGAGAAAATACTTTGATGTTCATGTTCGTTACCACTTACATGTACTCAAACAATCAGGGCATGGAGGCTAACCTTTAACACGAAACCCAGTGGTAAACATGTTTTTGTAATGCAGAAAAAACCTCTGTTACAATGTACGGTCGTTAATGTCAAACATACCATTAACGCGTGGAAGTGCTGTGATAAACTGTGCGTTTAGATGGATTTGAATAAAAAGCTACTCTACTGTAACGATTGAGAATAGCGCCGCGTGACGACATATTTGTCCTCTATGACTAGTTCCTGTGCTGAATTTGTTCTAACCGTCTGACTGTTTTGTGTGTTGCAGAGTTTTGCCGAGAACACCATGAACGAGCTGCTGGGCTGGTATGGCTACGACAAGGTGGAGTTAAGAGACTCCGACAACCTGGACATGGGAGAGACGCCCCAACACATCTCTGTCCTTAAAGGTCTGCGACCACGGCTAATGACTTTACAATTTTTCCTCATCAACACCAGAGTACATGGTTGAAACATAATGCCTGCCAGAAATGTGTGGTTCATTGTTCTACCTGTTCTTGATTTGCTTCTATTGTCCTGTCCAGAAAACTTGGTGCCAAAAAACCCAGCATCATCAGAGAGCAGTGAAGGCTCCCCAGATGGAGTCAACAGCTCCCAGTCAATGCCAGCCTCCAGGAATGGAGTCGTCGAGCCCGCCATCACAACATCCACCACCACATCCTGCACCACGGACCATGGCAACCTGCCCATCATCGTCCCTTTGATCCCCCCACCAGTAATCAAACCTTCCACAGGTAAGGAGCCCTGACAAAAATCATCAAGGTCCCTGTTTATATTATAAGCAGTTCATTTACATATGCTGTACCATCTGCAGAAATACCACTAAATATGTTTCTTTTTCAGTACAAAAAAGAGAATTTATTTATGAATATATAGCTATATCTGCCCCATTTGCGATTGAGTTTGAAATTAGAATAATTTAAAATAAAAACAGAACCTTGTAAACATAAAATAAAAAAAATGTATCTGATAAATCGTCTTCTGTGCATAAAATAAATAATTCACATTATTATTGGTGCATTCCTAGCAGCAGAGTAAATAGCTCACTAACAAAAACAAAAGCTAACTTATTTAGTAATAATAAATAGAGATATGAATACCCTCAATGAACAGGACCTGTGGTCCGATCCTTATGAATAAACGCACACAATTAACCACGTGGCAACGAGCTCGTTTTGCATGTAGCACCTTGGTGTGAATGAATGTGGGAGGCACAGCTTAGGGGATCTGCGCTCAACAATGCAGCCTGAGGCAGAGTAGTCGAGCACAGATCCACCCAGCTTTCAGCACAGACTGCATCGTCAGAAGTTCATAAATATAACATTTTGTATTGTTCGATTCATAGTGCGCTCTGAACCGAGACCATCGTCTTGACCATCGTATTGTTGCACCACTGCTTTATATAGCACTTGGTGCTTGATTCCATTCTAATTGCCAGACAGAGACTTAATGCTAAGGTTGATGTAGAGTAACATTTAAAATTCTTAAACTTAATACATACTTAAAATTACTTCCATATCCTCAGCATGTGCCTCTAATTACTACTAAAAACTTTGCCAGAGCTGCATGAAAGCAGACTTTTTTTTTTTAAATCGCACATATCCTTCCTTGTCATTCAGGGATGGCCGACTAATGAGTGTCTTACCTGCAGTCCACCTTGTTCTTCTCCACCTGCCCAAGTGTCAATATTACCCCATCCAACTCTCTGAGGAGATGTCACTGCTCCTCAGTCCAGACAGAGGCTTCATTATTTCACGCCTGCTGTGACACGAGAGGCTGGTGCGCTCAGGTAGAGGGAGTGTGCCGCCTTGGCATTGCCCAAAACGAGTCCCTGCTGGCCTTGCCTGGGCGGGAAACAGATGGTGTGGTCCCCATTTAAGACCCAGCACCAACCCGCCATCCAGCTCAGGCCGCCTTTAACTCGCCATCTACCACCGCACACATATGCTGAATTATTCATGTGTCCCCCAAAAATCTGCATAAAAAATTCTGAGGTTCCAGAAAGTCGATAATGGTAGACGACAATATGCTGGCTGCATAAATTCGAAAAAATTATCTATGGCCCTCTACTGCAGATGTGAGCCGGTGAAGGAAATTGCAAGCTTGTTTCACGTCAATGAAAATGAATTATGAAAAAATTATGCTAAAAAAATGAATTGTGTTATAATGTGTTAGAAAAATATTGTAAAGTATCCCTGTGGGGTCCATTTTGTTGTCTACAGAGCCTCGGGGAGTTTATCTCTTAATTATGGACCAGTCCTAACATGAAATCTGAGGCCCTGTAAATCCATTAGGCTCACAAAGAGGAGAGAAAGATTAGCAAGCAGGTGAAAAGGATGGGACTGGTGATTAAAGACTAATGGGCCTTGTTCTTTTCACCCTCATTCATGCGTAGCCATTATTGAGTGATTGGGAGATACTAAAGGGAATCTGAGTGGATCTCTCCTATCACAACAACAGCTGAAGCAAAAAAAGCCTGTGGATCATTCCAAACAGTCACTGTCGATCCAGACAGGGCGGAATTTCACTCACCATACTGATGCAAAACCAGCCTGGTGCTAATTTTAGTCTGCTGCAAAGGACGTATTTTAAAGAAAAAGGTGTGCTTCATTCTCCACTCTGTTTTTTTTGTGTCTGTACTTGGGTTTGGAGATGAATGACTGTTGACTGAATACAAAATATGGACCTGCAACGAGACCTGTTTGTAACAGCGATAATAACATCTATCTATCTATCCATCTATCTATCTGTCTATCTATCTATCTATCTGTCTATCTATCTATCTATCTGTCTATCTGTCTATCTATCTGTCTATCTGTCTATCTATCTATCTATCTGTCTATCTGTCTGTCTGTCTGTCTGTCTGTCTATCTGTCTGTCTGTCTATCTATCTATCTGTCTGTCTATCTGTCTATCTGTCTATCTATCTGTCTATCTGTCTATCTATCTATCTATCTATCTGTCTATCTGTCTGTCTGTCTGTCTGTCTATCTATCTATCTATCTCTCTATCTATCTATCTGTCTGTCTGTCTGTCTATCTCTCTATCTATCTATCTGTCTGTCTGTCTGTCTGTCTGTCTATCCATCATTGCTATGAAATATCTTTATGTTTCTGGCCATGAGACATTTGTTATTCAGAGAGAATTTTTTTTTGTATTTGCGTCTTATATCAGAGCAGTTCAGATCAGGGACGAACCTCTGCATTGAGACACTGTTGTTGTCTGACATTGTCTTTGTAACCAGCTCAGACTCTACGTCATGAGACATCAGCCGTCATCTCCACTGTCATTAATGGGCATCAACCAAAAAAGAAACTCGTTCTCTGTCACAGGCTGCTCTGCTTTTACTATATTTACACATGGCAGTGCAGATCCTACATATGTATTGTGTTGAGTTTTAACTGGATCATCAGCTGAAGCTTTCAGCTAGAAAATAAGTAAATTAACCCTTTGGTTACTGTGCATCTTTAAATTCTGTACATTGTTGTGAGAAAATTAAAATTTCCCTTAAATCATTATTACAACCCAACTCTGTCTCATAGATACAGGGCTCCTCAGTTTACATCTGTTTTTTTGGGGGGGGAGGGGGATTTTGCCCTTCATTCTGGCTCCCAGGTGTAAGTTAGACTCTTATGATATTTTTATGTCCTAAACCATGATGTTACTACTGTGTTAGTGTAGGTGAGTGACACAGATACTGATGTACAGTATGTGAGTTCCAAGTTACTGTGAAAAGTAACGGAATTCGGATGTAAGTCGAGGACCACGTACTCATTTACAGAAGAGTGTTTTTTTCCAGGTCACTCCTAACTCTTGTTCTGTTATTTATCTCCAGATGAAGATGCGTCCAACGTGCAGATCATGTGTGCCTGGTGCCAGAAAATTGGTGTAAAACGCTATTCCCTGAGCATGGGGAGTGAGCTGAAAAGTTTCTGCAGTGAAAAGTGCTTTGCTGCCTGTCGCAGAGCCTATTTCAAAAGGAACAAGGTAAGAATCTTAACTCATAATCAGCCGCAGAATCATGATGCAAACTCTAAAACTATTAGGACTGGAAACAGGGAACACAGAGATTATACGGTTGCAATTTTTATTCTCATGAATAATGAATACAATTAATTAGGTTACACAGTTTTAACTCACAGTTGTTTTACAGATATTGTTTGAAAATGATTGAATATATCGTACACACACACTGTTTTAGGTTTAGTGCTTCACAAAAAAGAACAAAGATTGCCAATATTAAGTATGAATAAACAGAACATGTTGCTTAGCTGAACTGCAAACGTGGCACTAAAAGAAGAAAAGACATCTATCATCTGAAGCCGTGGAATCAGACCAGAACTAATTCCTAAATTTATACTCTAGTTTAATGACCAATAGAACTTTGAATAGAGGATAGTAAACGTTGAATGTTGGGAATTTTAGCTGTTGTAGAGGTATAATTATATATGATAGAGAGGGCTAAAACACTTTGAGCCCTGGTTTTAATTGGTGGTCTTTCTGTATTAGGTTTTTGGTATGTATGTGGATGTTGTAAAGGTACTCAACTTTCCCACCACAGTTTCAGTACATGCAGCATTAGATGAAGTGCATTTAACATAGGCTTCAATGTGTGTGTCAATGGTTTGTCTTTATGTGGCCCTGTTACGGACTGACAAACTAACAAAGATGAAGGAGTTGAAGAAAGTTGAATGAATGAATGAATGATTCATAAATTAATGAATGAGTTGTCACAAACTGGTTAAGCAACAGTTAGCATCTATACACTCAGCCTGGCAGCTGGTGACTTTAATCACATTGACGCCCCCAGTACGATATATTATTAGTTGTCTTGTCCGAATCATCTATTTTCCACTAAACGTGATCATAGTTGACAAAACTGACATCATATTCAAGGTGACATTAAAGTGAATGTTGAAACCCTAAAATCTGCAGTGAAATAATGACTGCAGTTAAATAGTGATTAATGGTATTAATCTCTGATGAAGTAGCCAGATGGGAGTTTGTCATTATATAATGGCAGATCATTCATTGTAAATGTTCTGACTATGAAAATATGACTATGAAGATTTGTACAGTGAAAAGACACTTAGTTTGGGCTACTGCCCTCAGTTCCTTCACAAGTTTTTGGAGTGAAGGTACTACTAATGATATTTTGTGTTAATTTTTCACTGCAAAACTGTGAACTATGTGGGGGGTTTATTTTTGCTTTATTTATTTATTTTATCTTTACTGGAAGATCTATATGGTGATACTTAGTCCTGTTCCCTCTTCAAACACATGCCTTCTATCGAAGTACACTGCCATCAGTCGGACAGTAACAGCCAGTAGGTACAGATTTAATTTATCTAAATATCTTTTAAAAATCACAACATGAACTGATCTCAGAACTGTTTTGATCCGTGATGAACAACTAGAAGTACAACCCCAGACGACTAGCATCCTCTGAGGCAGAACATGTTTGTTTTTTACCCCTTATAATTTACACAGTAATCTGTGTTTTTGCAGTAGTTACACACTGAAGGAGAAACATACTCTGTGGAGTGTCATCGCCACAGCTGATACTCAAAACTAGATGTGTTTCTGACAAAAGCAGAAAACGCCCCAAATGGCTGCATGAAGGCATTACATCATCCAGTGGTTTCTACCTGAATGGGCTTCTCATCCCTTTTTAACAGCAAGTTATTCAATCATTTTCCAGAGTTTTATCTCCAACCATCCGAAATTATATAAGTATATAACCATAAATGTTTTAGCTCCAACCATCCGAAATTATTTATATAAATATAAGTATATAACCATAAATGTTTTAAATGTCAACTTACCAACCATTTATTAACTTGTTTATGTGCAAAAGGTAGAAAATATATACAGTTTTAAGCCCAGAACAATTAAAGTTATGGGGTTAAAAACTTTACTGTTAAAAAAAAAAAGCGATTGTGCTCAAAATGTCACAGTCATTTGGATGCATTAGGAACACGCCGTCAAATATCAAAGTTATTATTTTGTTTTTTGTTTTTTTCAGTATCTGTAGTCAAACTCTTTCTCCTTTCTGTCTTGTGTCAAAGCTGTGGTATGTGGTGAATGATGGTTTTTCTTCTTCTGTCCCTTTGCACCCAAATTAGCTCCTCGTCCAAACTAAACGCACTGCAGCAGAAACCACAAGGAGAAACACAAAAACGCTCTGATTGTGGCAACCAGTGATAAACAGTGTTTTTCTCACAGAATGATCAGCAGGATTCACCTGCCTTCACTCATAGTGTTATTTGTTATTTGTTATTTGTTGATGAATGGATGAATGGATGAATGGATGGATGGATGGATGATGGATGATGGATGATGGATGAATGGATGAATGGATGGATGAATGGATGAATGGATGGATGATGAATGGATGACAACCAGTGTGCATAATGGTGAGTGATGGAGGGGTATTTACAGTACACAGTACAGTACTGTACATGTAAGGAAAAGGGGAAGTTCACCCAGTTAGTGGGGAACACAGGTGCAGGAATATGATCCGCAGGTGAAAGCCATGAAGCCATCATAGAGATGGAGCTGTTGAGGAGACAGTGATGATGCTGAGATTTTTTTCCCACTCAGAAAATATCATTTCCCGGCCTTTTTGAAAAAATGCATTCCGTCTTCTTTGATAAAACGCTTAGTTATTTTATCAATAAGAAACTTAAGCAATAATATAGAAACAAAGAAACCCCACCATCACCACATCACTGCATCAGCAGAGCAGAGCCAAGGCACTGATCATTTCTCCGCTCATATTCCACTTATTCACCAGTTTCCATCCTCCTTCAGAAGAATACACATGACAAACACAGGAAAGGCCTGTTTCTCCACAGCGGCTCAGATTCTGTATTTTGTCTGGCCCTGCCACATGCACACAGGCCATTTGTGTAACCGATACCTATGTTTCTTTCCCCATGCACCCACTCGGTTGGCCACAACAACATGGGCCGCAGGCTTTTTCTTTCTTTTTTTTTTTTTGCAATGCAAAAGAAAAAAATGTCATGGCTGAAAAGGAGTATCTTGTGTCTGTGTATGCTTTGGTTTGTGGAGAGAGGACGAGGGGGAGGTGGAAAACAGGGGTGGGCAACAGCTCTGGGATTATGTTGCATGAAACGTCTTAGCTGCCTCATCCATGAAACCCAATCACCTCCTATGGTGACGATGGCCGCCACTTTTTCATATCTTTGCATAACTCTGGATCACGGAGTGCAGCGACAGTTGATTGACACGTCAACTTTAGCTGATCACCTTTTCTCTGTGCACTCTGTGCTTTAAGCTGCTGAATTCCTTCAGCAGCTTTAAGCACCCTGCTGTTAATAACCCTCTCACCTCACTGTTCACCAATCATTCACATAAAATGACTATTTTTATTCTGCCAACATTCCTGCGTTGTGCTTGTTTACTGCAAACTTTGTCGTAAGTAAAAAAAAAGAAGAAAGAAAATTAGTAGAACATTAAGTCAAACTTAATTGGATGAACTGCAGGTTCCGACTAATTCACCATCACAGTTACTGTATGCTGGACATCTCCGTGTTGTTGTTTCTCACTCTGTCACACACCCACATATGAACCAATCAACACACTTACTCACTGGACACAGTGCCAGGACTTAGTTGAGCTTCAGGACTGTAGGCAACTGTAGGCAACTGCAGGCAACTGCAGGCAACTGTAGGCAACTGTAGGCAACTGTAGGCAACTGTAGGCAACTGTAGGCAACTGTAGGCAACTGTAGGCAGCAGGGATCTCAACCTCAAATGAGCTGAGGGTCACTGCTTCCTCTGTCCTGCCAGTAGGGGGCCACATCAGGTATCAATGTTCAATACAAAAATGCCTGTGATATTTTAGAAAAATGTTTTTGTTTAAATCCTACAAATACTATATGATACAACTGTGCAAATTAATTAGTAAAGAGGAAGAGGTTTGACACCCCTGCTATATAATGATTACATCTTTTAGTTTTAATTTTTAGTCTATTTGAAAGGTTGAAATTTTGACAAATCGAGAGACTACAGTCCAAGGTGAGGCTCTTCTGTAGTTACACAGGAATTCTGGAAATAAAATCATCATAAAATTAGTGCAAATCAGAAAACAACCTTATGATAAAAACTAGAGGACAACATTGTCATCATCTTGATCGACAATGTGGACTTCATATTTCTTTTTCCTTTACATGATGACTTTGCTGCACATCACTGCACAGCAGTCAGGTAGACATTTACAAAGACCGAAATAAATCAGCATGATTTGAAAAGAGCCATTTGAATTTTGAATGATTATCTAATATATATAAGGTATTCAGACATTAAGGTAAGTGATAGCCAACTATAGTATACTAATGTACTAATGTGCCAATATACCAATGCATATATATAAAACTATAAAAATATAAATAAAGAAAGTGTCTTCAGCCATGACTGTGTTTCTAACTGAAACACGGAGGTGTCAGCACTGAGACTTCAACTGGTGTTTCACAGTGCAGGGCTTTTTGTTCACACAATGAAATCTTTCCCTGAGAGACTCCAGACCTCCATCAGTGTCTCATCCCCTGGAGCAGCCTCCAGGCACGAGAGGGCAGAGTGTCGCATCATATGAGTTAAAAAAATGTCACGTTACCTCAGAGGAACCCACACACACACACACACACACACGTTTGCTTTCATACGTGTCCCTACTGTTGCCACCCTCTCTCCTGAACTCTTCGCAGTGTTCTTTACATCTTCAACTTCGGCCTTGGTGTTTGTGTGTGTGTGTGTGTGTGACAGTAGGTGCTTGTGGAAATTATGTGTTTGCATGAAAAATTGTGTAGTGTGTGTCTGCAAATGGCAGTTTAAGCTCGGTGGTGGCCTAGAGGCCTGTCTAACTCAGCTTCAGGGAACAGAGAGGAAGGTGATTATCTCATAGCTCCGAGCCATCCGAGCTCAATAAAGACAAAAGTAACTCAGACTAACTTGGCACTGAGATTGTGAAAGCTGGAACCAACACACACACTTATACTATTTATGCATACATATATAAATATATATGTAAAGCTGTCTATACAGTATATAGACAAATACATTGTGTCTCATTTGTCTCAAATACATAGTCAGAAATAAATTCTTTACATTATGCTCCTAGTGTTTATTTCAAAGTACAGCAAATGGACAGGATGGACAGGATAAATGAACATTAGCTATTGTTTGTTAGCTGTATGGGGGAGTTTTAATTGTTACAGAAGGGCCCATTTTCATATTAGACCATGGGGCCCAGAATCCCTGGCAGCACCCTTGTAGTAACACTTCCACTGCCCCACCGCTCCATCAGGCTTTTTTGAAACAATCAAAACCAAATTTACAATTGTCCTTTATTCCTTTCTGTATCAAAACACCTGGTATTAAAAAATGTGCTTAATGTTATTTGTTTTTATTTTGTAATGAAAAACGTTGTTAACGTGTTGCAGTGTTGGATTTGTATGAAAACCCACTTACATTTAGCACCCTCTAAAGGAGAAGAAAGGTTCTTTAGTCACTAGAAGAGCAAGAATTACTGAGGGAATGAACTGTACTGAATCCATCTATGTTAAATATGAAGTAGTTCTTATTAAACAAAAAACTTCCTTTTGTGTCTTGGTGACATCTGATACTTGGTGACGTAGTATCACAGGTCCAGAAGAAGAAATCACGAGGTACACTATTAAAAACTAAATGATATAATCCCTGAGAATAATAAAAAAAACCTTTTGTGTCTGCAGTAGAAAGTTCAATATTACACTGATTGTTGTTGTGATCTAAAAAGCTCTACACAAACTAGTCATTATTAGTTAGTTCTAATCAGTAACAGTTTAATCAGTTTAATTTTTGACAGTCACCTTGGAGCCATGAGCGTGACACTCTCCAACACTAGATCAGCATCTGGAATGACTTCAGCTCATATTTATGGCCTGGATTTGAATACCTGCCTGGACAAATACTGTATATCATTGTCACGTGTCAGGCAGACACCTGGGCATGTGCGCCCACACAGAGCCAGACTTATTAGCAGATGTTGTTGCGTGGCCAGAGGGCAGCTGAGTGGCCGACATCCTTTTTTTGTCCTCTTTAAAGAAGAACCTCAGCGGCCGAGCAGCTGTTGATCTCTGGAGTTATAGAACAGATGATCGTGTTCTGGATGTATCTGTGTATTTGTCTCCGAATCCATCTGTCTGTGTCTGCCTGTCCATATACATATATATGTATGTATGTGTCCATGTTTGGCTCCCTCCCTGTCTGTGTGTCACATCTCATTCTCAGTTCCAACACCTCATTAGTACAAAATGCAAATGAACTGGCACCAGGCCAGAGGGTCAGAGCACAGACTGGAGACAGAACATCCACGGTACTGTGCCTCGGTCCTCTGTCCTCTTTGTGTGTGAGAGTGCATGTGTTGGCTACGGTGCACTCATTTAGCCGTCTTAAAATATCTGTCTTTAAATGTGTTTGTGTTTATCCTTGGGACTCGGGCCTTAATGGGTGTTTGTTAGAGTGAGCGAGCAGTGATGCACATTTAAAACAACACAGGATTTTAGTTTTTGGGGTTTTTTTTAATAAAAAAATAAAAACCTACTTCGTCCAGTTGCCCTTGATGTAATTATTTTGGGATTTTCTTCCTACCTACCCTCCAATTTTCTGAGCCCCTTACCCCTAGATGAACTAGATGTCAACAATTATTTAATTTGGCTATTGAGGATTTTTCAAAACAAAATGTATTTTCAATTTTTTTTATTTATTTGTTCGTTCATTAATATACTCATTAGCATCTATTGTAGTAAACATTATTTATAGGATTAAGGGGAAAAAAACATTTAAATATCAGGGTTTTTTCTGTATTGGACATCATATATCACATTGACGAGGCCCTCGATGTCAGTGGCAGTGAGGACCCTCAGCTCATTTGACTTTGAGACCCCTGATGGCATTTAGTCTTTAACACCCGGTCGTCCAACCATTCAACATAAGCCATTGTAATAACTTAACTGCTCTGCGAATTCATTTGAGACATTTTTAGTGTATAAAAACATGGCTGCTCAACAGTCAGTGGTGGCTGTTGTCTGATTCCCTTCATACTGATGATCTTTTTCAACAGCACACCTGTGTGAGCTGAAAGCAGGACAGTCAGTCCATCATTGATGTCCCCAACAAACACCTGTGCTCGTCTGAACCTCATGTTCACCTGGTTTTGTTTAATATCATTTTTGAATCGTAGTCGTACTTTATCAGTCTCATCATGATGTCATGACAAATATACGCACAGCACAGGCTGACTGACACACACTGTTCCCTGTCTGTTGGTCTCTACACGAACCAGCGACTCTTCACTCATCGTGCACTCATGCATTTTTGTCCTTCTGAATGTTGTTTTTTGGTTTTTGTTTACCTCTTAGTTCCTTTGTTGCTTAATTCACCTGTTTATTTTGTCCATTCGTAAAAAGCAGCCATTGTTTCTCCCCCCAGGCGAGAGACGACGATGGCCTCGGTGGGAAATTACCCCAGAACAGCTTTACTCAGGACACGCCCAGGCTTGTCTTCAAGACAAACAGCGATGTGCTTGTAAGGACCATAACCATTTAACACCAGACCAATTCAGAATTTGTTGGCATGAGCCCAAGTATGTTGTGTTTTTTTTAAGTGTATTATTTTCTCCTGATGTTTTCATCACATTTCCTTAAAATCCAACGTCCAACTGAGATCAGCCCAAATAAGTGGACAGTAAACAAATGAAGGTCCTGCCTTACATCTACATTACACACCTGGATGTGTTATTTCACACTCACAAGCTTTTTGTTCACTCTTCTTTGGACGTCATCTGACGCCAATTTGTGTGGATCTTAGACTACACTGTAGAACACACTATAGCATTCTCTAACATTATTTTAACAGTTAACATCATTCAATATCAGTGTTTCACCTTAAACACCCGTTTAAAAAAACTTTAAAAAAAGTTTAAAAACTTGGAAGTTAACACACTTGCACTGCCACAAGAATTGCCTACCAAATAAAAAATAGTGTAATGCCGACTTGTTTATTTTTACCCTTTTACCTATTTTTATCTGTCTGATGGTTTGACTGCTCGTGTTTTGAACTCTTTTAAATTACTGTGGTAAAGCTATGGTTTGGCACCCCAAACTAGAGACTGATACTTTTAATCAAAAGCTTCAACTCAGTTGTTACATTTCTGCTCACTTTCTCATCAGCTGACTGTGTTAACTATGCAGAATTTATATTTATTATCATTTTTATTTATTGTATGCCTAGTTTTATTGATATATTGTTTATATATTTTTATTTATTTTGGTGTCATAATGTAGTGGTTAGCACGCCTGCCTTGGAAGCGGAGAGCAGAGAGTCCTGGGTTCGAGTCCCAGAGGAACCACATGCCCTCATGCTTAATAGCAGATCTGCTGCTAACACAAGAATTTCCCAAATATGGGATAAATATACTTCAAATTATTATTATTAATACAGAATGATTTGTTTCCTTGAGGATTGAAACAGAAAAAAGAACTGCCTGTTTCATATTCCTTGGTTTCCTTGTTGTGCCTTTAGTTCAAGATTGTAAAATAATGATTTTTGGAAAAAAACTACAACAAATCATATAATTATAAGAGAGTGATAATAAAGTAGGCTAAAGTGTGATATTTAAAAGGATTATTTTTGCCTCGGTGCTTATCTCTAATCTTCAACATCAAACCTTTCAGCGCCCACTGAACCGTCCAACTGTTGATGTTTAATAAATAAACATCAAATAATAATGTAAGACAAAAATGTGTCTGGTGTCGTTCCAGAAAAATTCTGCCCCTTTGACAAATATAGTTGGTGACCCTTTTATTTTCTGATGCATTGATTTTATGTTTGTTTATTTTCTGTTTCTGTTGTTTGACTCTTTATCACCAGCGCAGTATAATCTCTGGTCTTACCGTTTTCTCAGAGGGATTTT